TCTTTCAGAGGTTCATATAATTGATTGTTGAACACGACTTTTTCTATATCGTTCTTCAATTCCATGTTCTCATTATCCCAAGTAAGAAGACTTTGAATAATTGGTAGAAGCAATTGATAATACACTGGATTGTTTTCTTGCTCACTCTTGAGAACGTTTCTGTTAATCAGAATGTTAAGAATTGAGTGATCAAGATTTCCACTGATGAAAAGTCTTTCAAGATACTTATGGAGGCTCTTTTTAGTTTTGGTTTTGATTTCAGCTATGGGCTTAACATTGGTATAGCTAAATATAATTTGATTGAATTTCTCTCGGTCATCTACTGCAACTAGTTTGATCAATTGTCTATATGCATTTGTGCTTCCTACTTGTTGAATAAAACGAAGAAGAAGCCACTCAGTTGTTATTAATTTACGTTTCTGTTCGTCTGATGATTGATTATTGAGCCATAATTCAAACTCGTCTTGATCGTATGGTTTATTTATCGAAAGAAATGCCTAAAACAATTAATTTTATAAATATTCATTCTAGTCGATAAGGAAGTCTTCTTACTTGTAAATTTGTCAAATCGACAAAGTCATATTTAATGAATGATGCCCACAAACCAACACCACTTGCATCCATTTCCGTGAAAAAATCATTCATTTGATAAAGTGGTCCTTCGAGTCTGTTCAAATCGAAGAATTTTAATGGAACATAACCCATTGGAAGTTCATAAAGATTATAGTCTGAATCCGCAGCGACAATATATGCCTTTTGGTCTTGAGCCAATCGAACTATCGTTGGATCAGCTTCTCCAAGAGCCATATAAACACCTATATCCATCTCACGCAAATTATCAATAAATACATGTCGAAAGAGCGATGGAAGTTGATTTTGTTTATTGTTGAACTCAATATAACGAGAGCTACTCGTACGTTGGGGATCAGATCTTCGATTGGCATTCTGTTTGTAAACTCCATCGAAGATAACGGAAACAGAGGAGCATTTATTTTTGAATTTTATTAATACCTCACGTAAATATTCCCAGTAACCATTATAATCAAATGGAGTATTGGTAAAATCCTGATTTCTATTTTTCCTCTGGGCATCATTCAATATTTGATCATATATAAAATACATGAACGAGTTTGCATCGATAATGATTGATTGATGTTTCAGATTGATTCTTCTTTGATGATTTTGTGGTGGAGCAAGATAATGGTAGCCAAACGTATGTAGATAATGCGGACCCATGAAAGTTTGTAGATGAAATGTGAAGATTGAGATAATTGAGCAACATTTTATAGTCACTTATACCCAGTTACAATTGGAAAATTCTAACAATATATTTTTCATAAGAAGGAAGAAACCAACTTTTGCGTTTCTTCACAAAGAAAAAAAAATCTCTTTTACTATTCTCGCTTCTTTTGTGTGAAGTGTAAGTATTTCTAAACAGTCACGTGCTGTATAAGAAGCATCGTTTTTCTTTATTTGTCGAAGCAAAAAAAATCTTTCTGGCTGCCGAAGGAAAGAAAATTTGAGACGATGCTTTTCTCTTTATTTGTGTATGTCATGATCTTCGTTCATGATTCATCGTTAAGTAGACAGTGTTGTTCTGTCTCTTGCTATCGGATGTGCCAGGATGAATAGCCACGTTTTACATCTCAATTTTCGTTCACTTCATATACTGTATTCAAAAAGCAAGAAGAATGGTCAAAATTGTGAACACTCAAATTTTAGCCTTGCGAAAACGACATTTTTTTGCACAAGATAATTTCGTTATTTCTTATTTCATCTTTCTCTCAGCAGATATCTTTCGTTTATGAAACGAACAAATCACACGACAAGATGCAGCATGAAAAGTTCTACAATTTACATAATACCACTTTTTTTATAGCTGCACTTTTTGTCTCGAAAATGGCTAAAATTTTGAACAACCAAATTTTGATAATGCGAAAAATTCGTTTTTCAACGAATGAACAATATTTGTTTTCATCTTATTTACTATCAAAAATCTCATATTTATAAAAAAAAAAACTAAATGCAGCGTGAAAAACTCTACAGTTTACATCCAAGATTCCTTTTCTTATAGGTCCATATTTGGCTTTCAAAATGGAAAAAATCTGTAAAACTGATTTTTATCGCTGCAAGGAAGACCACTTATAGACACGCTGAGTATTCCTTTTGTTATGCTTCCAGTTAATGAGTCATTTAAACAGTCATCATCAATGGCCAACATTGACCGATTGATACGCATTCCATAGGAACGCATATCAGTTGATCAAAGTCGGTCACTGATTATGATTTTCCATGTGATTCGTTTATCGAAAGGTTAAGAGAGGGAAATCGTCGTGCACCAATAAGTGATTTTGCTCGTAGCGACGAAAATTGATTTCACACAATTTTGACTAATTTCAAACCAAAATGTATAGCTGTAAAGAAAAGTGGCCTTGTATAAATTGTAGAACTTTTCACGCTGCATTTTGTGATGCATTTAGGTTTTTTTTTTTTTTTTTTTTTTTTATAAATATGAGATTTTAGGTAGCAAATAAGGTGAAAACAAATATTGATCATTCGTTGAGAAACGAATTTTTCGCATTATCAAAATTTTAACCATTTTCGAAACAAAAAGTGCAGCTATAAAAAAAGTGGTATTATGTAAATTATAGAGCTTTTCATGCTGTCACGAGTGGTGTATTTTGCTTTTTTAATACAGCATATTAAGTGAACGAAGATTGAGATGTAAAACACGACCATTCATCCGGGCAAACCCGATATTAAATCATCTGCTTAAGTTTTGGTTTCTCTTACTTCTTTTGTTTATCCATTCTTCAAAACAAATAAAGCATCATCTTTATGTCACTGCATACTACAGTGAAAAAGAAATTACACTCAAATACATATATATAGGGTTGATTAGTCTAGCCGAATGTCCGAAATGTTTTTATGCCATACTGCTTCTATAAATCAGATAACTGATTTTATTACCCACCCTAGTTCTCATCTAGTACTGATATTCAGCACTATACGAGCACCACAGTTAGGGATGCTTATTCTATATTTTCGTTACGTCTTTAGTAAAAAATAACATTAAGAAATTGAAAATTATTTAAGAACTATATTCCCATGTTTCTTTTGTTCTTTTTAGTAATATAAAAAGTTGTTCTTTTCATCGTTTTCCTTCTCTTACGGTGAATAAACAGTGATATTGGCCTTCACCATTTTTTATACTTATTGCGCACATTTTTTCTAAGGAATACTTTATAATACTTGATTTCATCATTGTTCGATATGTATGCATATAATATATTTTATCACTTCATTCAGGATTTGGAGTCTTGGTGTATATGCTTTCTTGCTATTGATTTCTCTATTTTCTTCTTCTCATTCTCTAAATGAAGGTTGAATTCATATTTTAAACAAATGAAAACACAATTTACAGATAAAAGTGAAAAAATAATGGAGAAAAAAAATCAATATTATGCTAATTCAGCGAAGAGAAAATGATGAATACTGATACATCTTATTGAGATGAAAAGGCTATCCCATGGTCTGTTTTTATAGTAAATTAAAATTTTTCGTTCATAAAAATTCTTCTTTATTCCTTGTTGCCGGTGATAACAAAATCTTTCTCTGACGATGGAGCTTTTTGTGTTGTAAGTTAATAAGATTAGATATAATCGAGTCAAATTAAAGATCTCATCTCCAAACTAACAAATCTAAAGCATGAGCTGTTGTTGGAGTATCCTGATGGAGATATCCGAATTTTAAGGTATTTACAGTTATGCAAAGTGCTCATAATTCAAAGTTTCAGTACAATTGATCATTATTTTTTTTCCAATCTGAACCACATATTTTCTAACAAAACTCGACAAGCTCTACCCAATCATTAGAAAAAAAACAATAATAAATTGTACTGAAATTTTGAAGTGTGAGGACCTTAAATAGACTTAAATATCTTAAAATTCAAATATGTCTGCCGGAGCACAGCAACAGCAGCTCATATTTTGGATTTGTTAGTTTGGCAATGAGATCTTTAGTTTGACCTGAATATATCTAATCTTATTAACTTGTCGCACAAACACCGCTATTGTAAGTGGCATGTAAGAAAAAAAAAGAAAGATTATTACATGTCCTTTATATTACTATTTTACAGTAAATCATTAAACTATACGAACAAAATAGAAAAAGTTTCCTTCAAAAATAGATAAGAACGTGGCAAAAAATTAATCTCTAATGAATTTCACATCAAACTGATCGCACATTTTAGTGATGAACACATCCAAAAACACACACAATGATCTTTTCCTCTTAGCTAAAAGTACATAAGTTAGTGCTACAAAATTTGCTTACGAAATTCATTATCTAATTGTCACAAAAACCAAGTAGGAACAACGTTTTATCTGATTGGCACCTGAATCAATCTAATACTATGGTCATTGTTCTCTTTTTCTTTTTTTGTTTGTCCTTTTATTCAAACTGTTACTAAAATCAAAGGTGCAAAGTCTCAAAATCGGGAGAAACCAGGAGATTTTCTCACCGAGAGAATGCTCTAAAAACCAGGAGACTCCTGGCTAAATCAGAAGATTTGGTAGCTCTGATGTGAGTATTGGTATATATAAGAAAAGAAAGAAAAAGGCCTCATACTCACATCCTCAAGCTACTACTACTGATTTAGAAGCAAATTCAAAGTTCATTCTCGAATTCGAAAGATTAAAGAGCTTGACATGTTCCAGTAAAAATTATTTTTGTTGGAAATCTCTAGATAAAATAAAAGCGAAAAACAAAAGGTGCATGCAACTATGATTCCAGTGAATGCTCGAACAGATTTTTGATTGTCACATCATTTTTAATTAAATGCACGATAGAATTATTGTAGACATTTTAGCACATAAATAAATATCATTTATGAGAAAAATGTAATTTACAGCAAAAAATAGTCCGTCAACTTCAAACAATATCATCATTCTCAAGAAAAGATAACGACATTTCAACTTCTTTCTGTTTGATTGATTTCTCGTAAGATACAAAAACTATTTGTATATGTACAAAGATATCTTTCACTTTTTATAAAGAGCGTTTTTTTTTTCTTAAAAAAAGTTTTCTATGAAAGTGGAACGCGTTCTTTGCCGTTTTTTTTTTGATAAATATTTTTCATTGGGCAATTAATCAACAATCGATTCAACATGAAATCTAGTCATTAAAATACATTTTTTAGTCTTCGAAAATTTCTAGAGATCTCATCCATCTTCTATTGAAATAGAAACAAAAATAAGATAGAACAATTGAATAATTTGGCTTACTTTTGAATTATCAAATTAAGCTAGTATAAGAGCTGATAAACCAATAATAGGCGTTATGCTCCTCTATAAGAAAAAATGTTACTAATTTTTGCCACAAGTTTAATCTTAATTTCTAAAGAATTTTCTTTTTATTGATATTCTATCACTCAGCATGAAGACGTGTGGCGGCAGTATGTTTATCTTTTTATTTCTATTCTTCTCACTAGTAGGTCAATTAGATTATGAACGATGACAATAGATTACATCGATCAATATATAGTTTTCTTTTAAACACCTATAAGGTTAACGAATCTTAATCGAACAATAAATAAAAATATTCATTACATTGATCCTCACACCTTACAATTGATAGATAGACATAGAATAATAATAATTATTATTATTGCTTTTTTGTTTTTATTTTACTGTTGAGAAAAGAAATAGAATTCACAAATCTCTTGATACTTCTATGGCTAAATGATGATCATCTTGATTCGTTTCGAGTGTCTTTTCCCATTTAGCTATTGATTGATTGATAACATGATTTGTTCGTGCACTACG